AAAACTATATCTGCAACCTGGATATTAGATCCAGGTGCTGTGACTTGTGAAAGGTGATTTTTACAACATAAAATTAAGTGTCATTCCAAGATGACATAACTAAAGGGCACAAAGCCTCACCAGAACACAAGAAGGCCTTGCCTTAGAAGGCAGATGCCACCCACTCGCCTCAGCTGGCTTCTCAGGTACCTGAGGAACTCCAGCAGCAATGCTGACCCAGCAGACTCAGGTTAGTGTCCTTGGGTCACACTGACAGATGGTGTAGCAGGAGTGCTCAGATGGCCAGCAGGTTGGCAACCCCCAGACAGGATTGTGGACAAACGAGCAGAAGGTATTTCGGCGTCCTCCAATCTCCCTGCACTCGCTTCATGGCTGACAGACATGCTTTGTTTTTTCCTTCCCTGTCTTTGCCCCTCCCTTCCTCCAGTGCTCCCTGCCACAGGCAAGGCAGGCAGGAAATGGAAGAAGCCTACAAATTCTAGGGCTTCGTTTTCCATAAGCCTGAGGCCTTGGAGATTTCTGGGCATGAGTATAGTGTTTCGGCTAGAAGTAAGGGAGACAAGGAAGCTTCCTTCCCCACAGAAGAAATGGCCCCTGGTTGAGGCCAGGACGGGAGAATTGTGGGGTTCTGTAGCTCCTGAGCTCCTGGCAGAGTGCCAGGCTGCCAGCACGTCTCCAGAGAGGAAATGGCAGCTCTCAGGTTTCTGTCCTCTGCACACAGCCTTAGAAAGTGTCTGAGTGCTGTTCAGACAGAGGGGCCTCACAGGACAGCGGGCGTGTCCCGAGCAACCTGGGTGGGACACTAACCGGGAACCACGTGCACCTTCCCACAGGCACGTCCCCTGACTCAGGCCCTAGCACCACGTAAATCTGCCACAGCTGCTGGATAACCCCGGGGACGGGGGAGGGGCCACCAAGAAGGACTGAGATGGAGTTTTCCATCATGCCAGTAACACGAGCACTCGGATTCAGAAATTCACTTAAATCATAGACTAATTCGATGAACTGCAACTGACACAGGTGAGAAAGCTGAGGCTCAGAGAGGGCAAATGAGCAGCCAAGACCACCTGGTCAGCATGGAGAGGAGGCAGAACAGAACCGGACCCAAGTCGGTAAACTCTAAGCCCAGGGTGGGGGAGGGGGACAAGCCCAAACATCCACAAGAGGGACTGGTCAAATAAACACTGGGCAGAGAGAGAGAGCCTCATGTACCGATATGGACAGCCATCAAGATATGCTACCAAGTAAAAATAAAAGTGCTCAGTTGCTGGTACTCATTGCTCGTAAGGGCGTTAAATAAATCTGGCAGACACAAGGAGCTGATTGTCTCCTGGAGGAAACTGGACAATGGGGACACAGACAGCGTAGAAGACTTTTCCCTGGCGCAACCTTTTGTACCTTTTGGATTTTGAATCAAGAGAATGTATTACCTATTTATATTTTTTAAAAAATAGCATTTTTTAAAAAAGAGCGACAGAGAGTCTCCTTGTTCAACCCTCTTGAATGTGATGGAACAGACTCCTACTGAGCACCCAGGGCATGCCAAGCCCCTGGTGGGTGCTGTGGGTTATCCCATGATGACAGGATGATGCCCCTACCCACAAGGAGCCCACTCGCCCCAGGCAACCCAGACCCCCCAGGTTAGGCAGCAAGATAGTGACCACAGGACTCCCACAGCTTCTCCCTGTCACATATTTGCCCAGACGACACCCAGCCACCAGAGGCTGTGAGCCTCCATTGGTGAGGGGTGAGGGTCTGTCCCAGGGCCAGCCCCACAGGCCTGATGACCACAGGGCAGTCCGAGCCCAAACTTCTCAGGGCCACACTGCTCTTTCCCGGCAGAGTTTTGGGGACAGGGCGATGGAGAGGTGGGGAGCCTGTGTTTCTATAAACCCTTCTATATTTCTATGGAAAAGATTATACACAATCGTGCCCTTTCTTCTCTTGCTTTAAGCACTCGCTTGTAACCAGCAGCAGTTACCGTGAGGGTCAATAAAGCAGTGAGCCCCTGAGGGGGGATTGCAACCTGGGTGGGAAGCGGGAGCAGGTCCAAGCTCTCCGGAAATAGAACTGCGATCTGCTGCATTGCAGAGCCACCTGCCTTCCCATCCTTACCTCCCTGTCCCTGCCGTTTTCTGTCCCCACATTCTGCCCTTCTCCACTGGAGTAGGCTACAGCAGCAGCCTGGACCTCATGACTTTCCACCACTTTCCCCAGCATTTACCTCATGTTGTCCTTGACACAAGGAAGCAAAGCTACAAGGATTGGTGTCCCGAGACTCAAGACTTGAGGAGGGGAAGCTCTTTCTGGAAGTATTGCAGTGTCCGGCCGTATGAAGCCAGTGAATCACGCAGTGCTCTCCCAGACAACACTCCCAGTGAGCTTCGTGTTGTCCTGGGTGGACCTGGGCAGGAGATGGAGCAGAGTGATTACCTTAGATGCAGGTGTGTTCGAGACCTGCTCACTAGGCATCTGGAGAGTAGTGGAGTGGAAGTTTTAACCCAAGTGTCCCAACCCCAAATCCCAGGCTCTCTTCACACTATTGTTCCAGTAGAACTCAGAGGTCTCAGTACAATCTCCTATTTTCAAATGATGAACTGAGGCCAGAGAGGGAGAGGGACATCTCTAAGGTCACACAACATGTAAGAGGCAAAGCCAGGTCTCAAGAACCCAGCCATCTCCTATCTCCCACTCTTAAAGCTGTTTTGTCCTCTGTCAAGGTGATGAGAAAGGCAGGTTGGTTGGGATAACCTGGCACCTTCTCCCTTACGGTGACCCGATTTGTCCCAACTCATGCCATTTCCCAGTTGTTGCCCTTAGACCAGTGGATGTGACCTCAAAAGTCTTCAGAGACAGGCAGGTCAATAACTGAGTGAGGCGGTCTAGGCCCTCCACTCTGTCGACGAGATCGCATAGAGAGATGGTGACTGTGTTGCACTGGGAAGTGCTTTTCCTGCCTAAAAAGCTTCAAATACAATTTTTAAAAGCATCGATGCTTCAAATGCATTGTGGGAGTGTGGGGAACAGATGAAACGAGATGAGTCGTGAGTTGGTGATTGTTGAAGCTGAGCTTGGGTGCATGGGGTTATTAACACAATTCCAAGTAAATGTACATATGTTTTAAATTTTCCATAATAAAAAGGTATTTTTAATTAACGTGCTATCAAAAAACATTGGGTCCTCAAGCTTATTATATCCACAGACCTCCAGTTAGCACACTCTAGACATTCCGGAATGGCCCAGGGCCCTCTCTCTGTCTTTCACTGCAATTCTCTCTGCATGGCCTGGGACAGGAGGAGACAAGGGTGGAAGGAAAGAAGACTGACTTGGGAAGGTATGGAGTCTGTTATCATAGATGCTGAAGAGCCTGGACTCTGGGTATTTGAGTGGACCCCATAAAAATGGATGCAAGTCACACCCCCTGCACCTGTCTAACTTCTCCTACCCCAGTCCCTGCCCATCCTCCCTGCAGCTCACTGTATCTTGCTCACCTTTCTTACCACCAACTCCACCAAGGGAAATAAGCAAATCTACAGTTGGTGTCCTCAGTCTGCAGAAGGGAATATATCCCATGGGGACGAAAAATAAAATGCATGAGCGCCTGGCCCACTAGAGCTCATGCGACTCTAGAGAGGGCTGCACTGACTTCTAGCAAGACCTCACTAGCAGAGGGGAAGGCTCATGCTTTTAAGTGGAAGCCTGGTGGGGAAAGAAACTGCAGGTTATATTTTTCTTTCTCCATTTCTTAGGCTGACTACCATTCACCATACCTACTCTTCTAACCCTAATATCTTCCCAGTTTATAAAGTGCTTTCACACTTATGATATCATTTCATCCTCCAACCCTGTCAGGCAGGTATTATCCCCATTTCATAGATGAGGAAACCGAGGTTCCACATGATTAAGTAACTTGCCCAAGACCATGTAGCTTGTAAGTGGCAGAGTCCAGGACTGCTGACCCTGATCTTAACGTTCTTTCCTCTGCCCCAGGTTGGGAGGGGTGGTAGGAGTTCCCTGTCACAGGGCTCTGCAGCACTTTCTTCATGGACCTGATGACAGAAAAAGTAAGAATCATTGGGTTTTCTAAGCAGTCAGTTGGGGTGGCAGGAATTTTCAATGGTTGCTACTTAACTGCAGCTGTGTTGCCCTTTTTTAATCGAGGACAATTGTTTGAGGTAACAGTCTGACTTAAATGGGTCTTCTGGGATGGCATGGACAGGGGACACTTAGATTGTCCCATGTCCTTGTGTGATGACCATATAGCCCCCACATCCTGAGTGCGGAGAAGCTGAAAGAAGACACTGACATTGTCCACATAGGCTAGGGACATTGACTTTAGGTCTTATATCAAATTTTAATTCTGTCTTAATTTGCTATGTGACCTCAGGCCAGACTTTTCCCTCTCTGATCCCCAGAGCATCCTCCTGGCAGCCGAACCAAGGCTATCTCCCATGCCAGCTCATGCACAGCAAGACTCCACTCCCTTAGCAACCTCCTAGAGAAGATGACGTAGGGAAGGATTGTCACAGCTCAGAGGAAATGCCCCACATCCCTCACTGGTTTGGGAATTTAACATTAGGGGAGCAACAGGAAGCAAGGCGTTATTAGGGAGAGGAGCAAAACAGGCTGGTGGAACCAGCCATGCTGCTCCGGCCACACACAGTTTGCTTTTCATGCCTTTTCCTCTGTTAATTTGGCTTGTTTCCTAAACATGGGTCAAGCGATCTCTCCCTAAGAGCAAGGGCAGCAGAAGGAAATGTTATTAAAAACGAGTTCATTAGTGGGCATGGTGTGTGGATGAAGTCTTTGGGAGTTTTGGCTGCCAAATAAAGACTTTATTGTTGTCATTCCTCCTTTCCCAAGCTCCCTCCCTCTTTTTCTCCTCCCCCCTCCTCCCCTCCCTCTCTACAATCTGCCCGTCCCTCCCCCTAACCTAACCTCCCCACCCCAATAGGATCTGGTAGAAGAAAAGTCAGGCAAACACAAGCAGGCTCCCAGGGAGATCAGAGCTTCTAGCTGGCTCTCTGCTGCCACACTCCACCGAAGGGCAGGGGAGGAAGAGGAGGGAGACTGACCTAGAGCTGAGAACAGAGGCAGGTGTGTGCAGGTAAGCCCAGTCGGGAGATGGGTAGGAAGCCTCCTTCCTCCAACAAGTGTCCTCCTGCTATGTCCAGCTTAGGTTTTTGATCTGGTCTCTGACTCCTCCCTCCTTCCTTCCACCTTTGTCTCCTTTCAGATGAGCTCAAATTAGTCTTCTTCATTGCTTCTACCCCCTGGTCCTCTTCCTTCTCTCCGTCATCCTCTGTATTTGCTGGCTGTGTATTTGCTGGCTGCAGAAGTTAAACTTTCTTGGTACAGATGTTTGTTGTAGCACAGAGTTATGCTGCACACAGTATTTCTACAGATCAGGTGATTCCATAGAAACTGGACTCAAGAACCTATTTCTCTTCACCTTTCATATACTGTTACTCGCTGTTACAGGCACATGCGCACACACGTAACACAGAGGCTGCACTGTATACACATAGCACAGAGGCTGTACTTCACACACACACATGCTCACACATACACATACACATACACACATTACATATACACACATGAAGCCTCCTGCCCATTCACCTGCACTCTCTGACTGCATCTGACATGCAGAGCTAAACACACACACACACACACACACACACCCCACATCTTGTCTCTCGCCCTCTCACGTGCCTCCCCAGCAGTAAGAGCAAAGAGAAAGTACACTTTCCACTGAGATGGCAGGTCCAAAGAAAATCGTGTGCTGAGTCTAGGTGGAGCGGGGAGGAGATGAACAAGAGCAGGAGCTGGAAGGATTTCTTCGTTCTTTAGAAATTAATTGGGCGGGAGGGAGAAAAAGTGGCTTTCCGACCTGCACCGTATCTTCCCAGTAACGCTGAACTTCTCTGCCTCACTGGTCCAAACCACTGGCTTTTGGAAAGAAAGAGAAGAAAGAACCCAGCTTCCAAGCTTTGGAAATCCTAATCCCCAGCTTTGGGGGTGTTTATTTATTTTTCTGCAGGCATCCGGTAAAGATTTCTCTTTAAAGCCTTTAGCAACGGGTTCTTGTGGCAGAGAAAAAGATAGGAGTTGCTTAATCTGTCAGGGAGGGGAAAACTGGAGTGCGCAACTAAATGGGGCTTGTTTCCAATCAGAGTGACCCCACTCCATCTCCACAACACAGTGCTGTCCCAAGGCAGGCAAGGGTGGGCTAGAGCAGGGTCCCCAAATACAGCGGATCTTCACGATCACCTGGGAGCAGGGGAGAGGAGAGTGGGGGGATTTACTAAAAATATAGATGTCTGAACCCCTCGCTCCAGACCTACCGGATGGAGACTCAGGAATCCGTCACTGTTTTAACATTTGAATGGATCCTGATGGTCAGCCAGGGCTTGAGAACCAGAATCAGGGTATGGAGGGAGATCTGTGCTGGGATTAAAGAGCAATGTTAGCTGGGCAGAAGGACTGTTTGGTCTCCTGGACGAGGACTGTGTGTTGGAGGAGCTCCAGAGTACCCCAAATTGGCCACCCTCTTTTGTGGGGATGGTGTGTGCACTGAGGGAGCAGGGAAGACCTTCTGTGAGAAATCCCCCTCCGTCCTCCTTGCAAACCACGATATGGCAGCCATATCATGGGGGAACATCCTAGAAAGAAAGGTTCCCCAAGATAGTCCCCCAAAGCTAATGTTTCCTCTCCCCTGCTAATCCGCCTGCCCTGAGCCCCCTGAGGCACTGAGCTGGGCCTCTCCCCATCCCTTCCAGATCCCCTCTCCTCCTGCCCAACAGCTGTCTGTTCTGATGGCCTCACACAGAAGATGGGCTGAGCAATAAGCCCTGTGCAGTGGACAGCCCCATTTATTGGGCATGTGAGGGAAGCGTTTCAAGGCTGGAAGGAGCAAAAGAGCCAGGTATGAAAGGTTGGGAGGGGAAGTCATGAATCACAATGGGACTCAACAGCCAGCTCTGTGCCTTCTCTCACCACATCCCCTCACCTGCTGCAGAAAGGTGTGTGTGTGTGGGCTTGGGGGCGGTAGTGAATTGGAGGACAGAGAGAGCAGTCCCAGGTGGCTTGGGGCTTCTACTGTATCTCTGATTACTTGACTCTGTGACCCTAGTGTGGTCTCACAGGTCCCAAAGAGAAGAAAGGTGCTCTGTGTGAATGAGTTGCGGGAAATCCATGAGCCAGTACCCACCTGCAAGGCTCTCTGCTTTGGATGGAGGGTTGGGCTGCCTTCTGGCCAATCTGAAGGTAAAGAGACCTTATTACTTTGAAATAATGCCAAAAATAGCTTAATATTCACTGAGCCCTCACTTTACACACGTTTACTAATTTAACCCTCAAATCAACATCATAAGAAGGTGTTAGTGTGTCCATTTTACAGATGAGGGAGCTGAAGCTTAATTGGGGTCAGAGATTTGCCCAAGAGCACCCAGTGAAGCAGCTGAAGAGTTACGGGGTTAAGACTCAGATCTATAAGCACCTAGAACGGATTCTTCTAGGCTTTTCTCCAAGGGGTGGAAATGCTAGGGGATGGAGGGAGGAAGAAGGAGATGGCGAGGTGAGGAAGAGAGCCATCTCACCCTTGTTCCTTCCCCAGCCCCTTGGGATGGAAAACTTGCTCTTCTGCACTAGTGGCCGGAGGCCAGAAAAACCTTCCCCCTGTTTACACTTTGCCTTGTGGTAGATGCTGGGGAGACAGATGGTCTCTCCATCACAGCGTTATATTTATTTTTAGCACTTCTTGATCAACAACGCATTTTAAAGTTACTTATTACACTTGCTTCTGACAATAACTGGGTGAGGAGTACAGGATAGGGAAGATTTTTTATCCCCCTCTTACAGATAAGGAAACTGAGGCTGAGAGCAGGGTCATGTCACTAAGTACTGGCGGAGGGGCTGAGAACTTTCCTCCCCTCTCTAGTTTGCACCATGAAGCTCTCACCCCACCGTGCCAGCCTTCTACTGATTTCAACTGATTTCAACCCCCAGGAAAGGAGGAGCTGCATCAGTGGTGTGTTGAATTCATCGTGCCCCTATATCATACTTCTTGTTACCTCAGGGACACACGAGCCCTACATAGAGGCCTCGAGAAGGTCCCAGACTGCCTGGGTGGGCTGCCTCACTCTTCTGCTAACAAATGGGCAGAGATCACCTGATTCTCTTGGCTTCCAACTCCCTCTGGGATTCCGGAAGAGATAAAGGTGGCAGGATGAACTTCAGAAGTCTGAGTTTAGAACAGAAGGAAGGGAACAGAGCAAGAGCATCATGCCAAATGTCCCTGGGTGTGGCTCTGGGGCAGGGGCACCCTGTTCTCCATGGCAGGGTTGCTAGCTGAGTTAAGCTGTGGAGGTTTAGGGGTGACCAACTAGACAGAAAATCTGACAAGGAAGAAGAATGCCAGTAAGTAGTGTGGAGTAATCCTTTAACGGGTCACACCCAACCTCATTCCCAGCTTAACCCAAGCCCAGACTCTCTATACAAAGCAAATTACCCTTAAACTTGCTCCTAATGACTTGACAAACCCATTGGACCTCAACCCAGGCCTACCATGAACCTGAACATCACACCAGTCCCAGGAGTTCAAACCTTAAGTGAATGAATTCATGAGCTCGGTTGGGAAGAGGGCTAGCTCATTTTAAAATCAGTCTTTCCAGAGAATCTGCTCTGGAAAAACAAATATAAACAAATCAATGAATAATCTAAACCCCTGTCATTTGTAGAGAGTTTATGCACTATGACATGCCTTTCTGTGCGTGATCCCATTTGATCCTTACACAGATGAGGAGCCAGGGGTGAAGGGGCAGAGCCAGGATTCGAGCCCAGATCTCCAATACTTGGAACTGAAATTCAAATTTAAAACTCTCTTAGGAAATGTTCTTAAAGGGAGAGACTGAATTTTGGGTCAGGCAAAGAAAGCAGTTGTGACTCTCCCATGAAGCAGCAGCATTTTGAGAGCCAATGCCGGTGAACAGAGCTGCATGAGGTCGGTGACTGTCGGTGGTCAACAAGTGTCCAGTGACTGAGCAGTGAACATGGCCGAGTAGAAGGGTGAGAGGTGAGGAGGTGTGCTTGCACAAGCATAAAAAATTTAAAATTCACACACACTTATGACCCACCCCAAGGGAGCTTGTGATTAGACAGAAGGTTCTGGAAGGCAGGAACATAAGAAAGTATGACTTTGGGCTTTAGTTGGGGGTGGGTATAACTCCCCTTGGAGTTCAGGGACCTCCAGTCTGTCACACATACTCTGGTTTCAGGGACATAGACTGTCACATGCACTGCCAGAGCCGTGCTGTCAGGACTTTCCCTCCAGAGGGCCAAGCTCCAGCAGGAAGAGGCGTTGCCCGATAAGAAAAGCCTTAGAAATGAAGGCTGTTTCCTCGAGAAAGGAGCATGGGCGTGTGCGCACACACACGGAATGGTTCGGCCCCGGGCTAAGAGAAAGGAGCCAGCAGATCCAACTTCTCCACAGACCAAGTCCAGGGAGCTTTTACTCAGGAACCTCCCATCAGCTCTGGGAGTTGCTCGGCCAGCCCCCAGAGGTTTGGCATGTAAAAGGATCAGAGGAAGGGCTGGTGGGCAGATCACAGGAATTCTTGAGGAGCCTGGGAGGAAGATGGGAATGAGGAAGGCCTATGTTCACTGTGGGCGGAAGGAGCGGTAGGTTGGCCTGCCTGCTAGAGCTGTGATCCTGTCACTGAACTGTGAGCCTGTCACTCATCATCATGGGCACCAGGGCTACCCAGGCCAGTCTCCTAAGTCAATGTGCCTCACAGAGTGAGCTCCTGCTGGAAGCTCTGGACACGCTTTAGCCACTTAACTTGGGGCCTAGTACCTGGTAGATGCTTTTGGTGACAAAGGCAATTCCAGGAAATAGGGGGTCCCAGCCAGTGCTGGGGAGCCTCCTTGGGGCAGGGCTTCTCACAGCATGAGAGATTGCTTGCTTATTTTCAGACTTCTGAGTGATAAGAAAATGAAGAAATGTCAAAATAAAAAAAAATCAGGGTTACAAAAATTGGGGCTTTTAAAAATGTTTGTTTTTCACATACTAATGCTTTAACTACTCCCTTAAAATTTATATGCAAAATGATGGTGTTCTATTCAAGACTTATAAAATATTAATTTATAGTTCACCAATTAAAAGTGGTGTGAATTCTGGCCACAAGACTCCAAGTGTAGGTTTATAATGAATGCCTTCTCTTTTCTGTCCCTTCAGTGTACCCCTGAGGCCGTTACAGCCTCAACTGGAGATAAAGCCAAGAACCCAACTGCAAGGTCCTTTGTGATAGGAGGTCCAGGAAAAATGGCCCTCCTGGACCCCCTTGGAGAGGCTAGCCTGGGAACAGACCACCTTAGAGAGAGGTGGAGAGGCAACAGAGGCTGCAGGCAATATCTTCCCTCTTTCCCATCTGTCTGTCTGTCTGTTTGCCTTCCCTCCCTCTTTCCTTCCCATATTCGGTGTACCGTGTAAGGGTTCACACACGCTCACAGAGCACCTGTGAACATGAGTTTGCTTATGTGCATGGTACAGGAGAGGAGTGCCTCTCCAGGGCTGAGCTCTGCCTTCTCTTCTGTTTCTTATATCATTTAGCTCCTCCTGAGCATCTGGCTCAGGACTAAGCAGCTGGTGAGGGGCTTTGCTCATCTTCCTTTGAGCAAAGCCAGCAAGAGGCCGGCACTGGGTCACTCACACCGGGAGGAATCTAAGCTGACATGGACTCAAAAAGATAATGACCCTGGAGAGGGAGTGGTACATGAAACCCCCTCCCTGGACTCTTCCCAGCCAGGCCAGCGGGGAAGCCTATGCGAGCTGCCGCTTTGTGTCCGTGACCCTGGGTCTATTGCTGTTTCCCAGCTTAATTCAACTCAAACTACGTGGCCCTATCTAGATATCATGAGGGCCAATGGGAAGGGCAAACCCAAAACATCCTTCAGCACCCTATTCCGCTATGTCACATAGGCTAGCAGAAAGTTCTTCTTGATGCCTCAACACCACCAATTCCAGTGGAGATGAGAGCAGTAATACTGAATCACAGGAAATGAAAGTGGTTTCGCCACAGCTTTCGATCCTTTCCTGTTTACTTTCCCAGAAGCCTCCACATCTGGGGAGAATTCTTGGTATGTCTCCTGCTGGCAAAGACCAGCGTTCTCTGAGCTGAGCAGAGGGGCGAGGGGTGTGCAGGGAGGACACAAGGATGCCGGCCGTACTTTCCTTCCTCTCCAAGATCTCCACGGCTTTTCTGGAAGGCGGGAGACCTGGGCTTTAGTCCTGGGTCTAAATAGCTTCCTGGCCTTGGCAAGCCACTTCTTCCCTGCAGTACTCGATTCTTATAAACAGTAGAATCTGGACTTGATTGGTGGATTTCAGACCATTTTTAGCAAAGTGATTTTTTTTCTTCTTCTTCAAGTGACTGCTCTGGTTAAACCTCAATATAGACAACAGACTTAAAAAAAAAACCACACAGAGTTGCTCAAGTTGGCACAGGCATGAGTTGGGGGTACCCCGAGGCCATCCTCTCGGTCTCCTTCTCTCAGAAATAGGGGCAAAGTTTGAAAACCATTGAGCTGTGAAATTTCTAAGGACCCTTCCAGATGTAACACCCCAGAACTCTATGGTTCATATGTCCTACCATCCCTCTTATAAGAACAGAGAATATTTTCTCATGCTGCAGATGGGAAGACTGAGGGCCAAGAGGTTGATGGTCTTCTCCAGCAAGCCCCAGCACTCCTGATTCACAGCCCAGTGTGCTTTCTGCCAGTATGGCTCGCCTCTTCAGAGGAGGCTGAACACTTTGAGCGGCTAGGCCTCTGGGCAGGGGACCCAGACTCTCAAGCCCTTGTTACTTTCTCACCTACTGGATACAGGCAAACAGAAAATGCTTTCACAGGCCCCTCCCACAGCCATCCTGGAGCCCATCCTGGCCAACTTTAGCTGCAAAGACATAGCCTCTAATTCGTGAGGTCCAGCAGGCTAATAACCTCCCGTGTCTCCTCCCTGCAGGTACATCACCTGGATCATGAAGTCATCCCTCTGCTGGCTCCTCCCACTTCTCATCTTGGCCTCAGTGGCCCAAGGCCAGCCAACAAGACGACCAAGACCTAGCAGGCCCAGGCCCAGGCCAAGACCCAGGCCCACACCCAGATTTTTTCAGCCCCATGAGCCATCAGAGCCTACAGACCTGCCTCCTCCCCTCCCACCAGGCCCTCCATCTATCTTTCCTGACTGTCCTCGGGAATGCTACTGCCCCCATGATTTCCCATCTGCCCTCTACTGTGATAGCCGCAACCTTAGAAAGGTCCCTGTCATCCCATCTCGCATCCATTATCTCTATCTCCAGAACAACTTCATAACTGAGCTCCCAGTGGAGTCCTTCAAGAATGCCACAGACCTGAGGTGGGTCAACCTGGACAACAACCGAATTCGCAAGGTAGACCAGAAGGTGCTGGAGAAACTCCCCAGCCTGGCGTTCCTCTACATGGAGAAGAACGAGCTGGCAGAGGTGCCCTCGGCCCTGCCCCGGAACCTGGAACAGTTGAGGCTGAGCCAGAACCGTATCTCCAGGATCCCACCCGGCGCCTTCAGCAAGCTGGAGAACCTGCTGCTCCTGGACCTCCAGCACAACAGGCTGAGTGACATCGTCCTCAAGCCTGACACCTTTCAGGGCCTCAAGAGCCTCATGCAGCTCAACCTGGCCCACAACACCCTAAAAAAGATGCCACCCAAGGTTCCCACGGCCATTCACCAGCTCTACCTGGACAGCAACGAGATCGAGACAATCCCTAATGGGTACTTCAAGGCCTTCCCCAACCTTGCCTTCATTCACCTCAACTACAACAGGCTGTCCGACAGGGGGCTCCCCAAGAACTCCTTTAACATCTCCAACTTGCTCGTGCTCCACTTGGCGCACAACAAGATCAGCAACGTACCTGCCTTCAGCAACAAGCTGGAGCACCTATACCTCAACAACAACAGCATCGAGAGTGAGTGGGATGGGCCGTGCTGGGCCGCAGGGAGCGGGGCTGGGGACACGCCACCTCAGCCCTTTCTCAGGAGGCTCAGGGTGGGATGGCACAAAAAGCACCCCGTTTGGCACAGGGCTTCAAATCTCGGCCTTGCCACTCGCTATCTGTATGACCTTGAACAGATGTTTGACCTCTTTGGGAATTTCCCTCATCTGTAAAGTGAGAATGGTAATAATACTTCTGTCACAAAGTTGATAGGAGGATGCAGTCATTTAACATGGATACCGTACCCCGAATACCATGCTTGGAGGGTACAAGCTTCTCTTACTCTGTCCCTTCTTATCCACCCCAGCTTCTTAGCCCTCCAGATCTATAGCTAGGCTAGACGTGGAATATAGTCCTGGACATTCTTCTAAAAGAAGAACAGTGGTATTTAAACGCCCACTCTGAAATGTCCTGGGCCTGTCCACGGCAGAAGCTGGCAGCTGTGAGAGGCAGCATCTTCCCCAGTCTGAGCCTATGTTTAAAGTATCTGTAAAATGTATACGCAGAATGGCAGCTGTATATTCAGGGTCTGCAACCGGTGAAAATGCAGCAGCCAGAAAAACATGTCCATATACAGGTGCTTTCTGAATCTGTCTGGAAAGCTGGAGTATTTAGTCACTTGGGGCAGAATTGGCCTCAGCTACATTTACAGGGTCCTGGGCTTGAGTTATCAGTTGCAGCCTAGAAGAAGAAGCTGGAAGTCGCAATTTTGTTTCCATCAAAAATGTCAGCTCTGAGCAGAGCATCCGCAGAAAGGTTTAAAAACAAAAGAGAGATTATTAGGTCCTTGAACAAAATCAGGATATACCGCACAGGGAACGCAGTAGCTTCAGGGATGAAGGAGAGCACAGGGAAAGTGGGGTGCCCCTAAAACAATATCGGGAATCCTTAGTTTCCAAGCCAAAGGATGAGAGGAAGATTGTTGAGTTTCTACAGTCTTGAAACAAATGGCGGGGCGAACAGGCTTGCTCACTCATCTGGAATAATTACACAAAGTGGGAGAGGGCCTTTTAAAATCTGGCAAGAGACAAATTCAGGAAAAGGGAAAACTGTCTAATTTTACCCTGCAGGGAGTAAAGTGAGGGTACCTATTACATGGTGACAGGTCTCTACCGGGTTGTGGAAAACAGGCAGTTGGGGGACAGCCAGCCTCCTGAGGATGAAGTCAGAAAAATCACACCCACTCTCATCATGCCACAAACCTGGGAACTGAACGTCAGGGTGGTCAGGTGACAGTCTAAAGTCACAAAAGCTCTAAGAAGAAAATCCATCTATGTCAGGACTCTTTCTCCTGTTCCAGTGATGAAGAGAGAAGATCAACGACCCTACACATGATAAATGAGGCAAGGCTTAGGGGAAATAAAAATTCATTTAGAAGATGACACATCCGATGTCATCTAACAAGAGGTGAAAGAGAAAATGAAATCTCATGTTCCGTTGGAAAGCTTACCAAAATTTGGCCACAACTTACCTTTCCAGCTTTTTAGAATCAGAAATCACATCAGAATCAATAGGCTCAGCAAGCCCCAAGGGCTCTGTGCCCTCCCCAGACTGCCTTTCCTCTTCCTATTTCAGTTAACGTGACTACCTTCTATCCATCCACGTACCTCCCATCCAGGTCAAGAAATGCTTACATCTACCCGCTGGCTTCAGATCTCGCCTCGCCCCACCATTTCTCCACACTGTGGCTAGATTCGTCTTTCTGCAGTATAAACCTCATCATAGGCCCCTTCCAGATTTCACACCCTGGGATGCTACCATCCTGCTCAATGCCATTCCTCAGACTGGAGATCAAAGCCTCAATCTTTAGTGAAATATTAGAAAGTCAACCATAATTTGTGGCCACAACTCGCCTTTCCAGCTCACTGTCCCTGGTCCATCACATTGTGCTGTTTACTGCTCCCAGATTCTGCTGTGACCTTTTTGGCCTCCACAACTCCATTCAGATAGGTCCCTCTATCAGAATCCCATCCCCCAGGTAACCCCCTGCAATAGTCCTACCTAACATTAAAGGTCCAGCTCAAAGCTTACTCCCTCCACAACTCTTCAGAGTGAATTTCCAATAACAATTATGGATCAATTCCAACTTCATTTTCAAATGAATAAACTGGGCCTGGAGTTTACGGTCAACTTGACCATGGTCACCGATTCCCAAAGTCAGCCAATTCTATACCGGAGCGCTCGAGAGTCCTTACTCTCAGTTGTCTCCTTCCTTGTCAGTGCCCGCAGCCCCCTCTGTCCTGACCCCACTGTCCTCTCCTACTTACCTCTCCTCTTCTTTCTCCATAGAAATCAACGGGACCCAGATTTGCCCCAACAACCTCGTCTCCTTCCATGACTTCTCCTCGGATCTGGAGAATGTGCCACACCTCCGCTACCTGCGGCTGGATGGGAACCACCTGAAGCCACCGATCCCGCTGGACCTCATGATGTGCTTCCGCTTGCTGCAGTCTGTGGTCATCTAGGTCTTGCTCTGCTCTGGGCCTCCTCTGACAGCACTTGAATGCTGGTGGTCCAGGGACCTTGCTCACCATTCACTTTCTCTATCTTCCTCTTACTCCCAGCTTTGCCTTTCTTATCCCACCTTCCTGGGGCAGGCCAAGCCACACACTCTGCTGCACCTATGGCCTCTAGAGCAAGACTTCTCAGAACTTGGTTGGGTCCACCCAGCTTAAAGACACCTACTGCACACCCAGACTTCTGGCCCCAGAAGCACAGATGTCTGTCTAAAAACTTCATAGTCCCTTCTCCGCCCCCCGTCACTCCTGGGTAAGTCTGGGCCTGGACTGACATCTGGATCTCGGTCCTGGCAAAGCAAGAAAATGGTCAGGGGCAGCCTAGAGGTGAGGCTCGAAAAGTCCTGCAGGGGACTCCGCCTTCAAAAGCATCTCTCACTCCGAAAGGCCAAGAAACCCAGGCCCTCTTGGCCAAGGATCCATCCTCCCAAACTGCTGCTCCACTCCTTTGCTGACACCAGACATGATGCTGGCTCTTTGCCGGCCTGTGTTCTCCAAAAAGGAAGTGCAAGGGCATGGCCAAGGGACGGTCAGGGCTCCCTCAAGAGCTCGCACTGGCCATCTCTTCACAGGGAGGAGCCGGGGCCCTCCTCCTCCAGGGCGAACACATCACGTACCCTCCTGACTGGGCGTCTCTAGTCCGAGAGAAAGAGCAGGGAGGAACAGAACGGGAAAAGAATGGCTCAGGAACTAGAAATCAGCCAGTGGGAGAGGGGTGGGCCCCTGCGAGTAGCCCCGCCTTAGCCACTCTGGACAAGAGGCCTGATGCCTGAGGAACAGTGTCCATAGTGGAGGGTGCAGAGCCACCAGCCCTGCCCCGCCATCTGTTCTCTATCAGTGTGGATGGCCCAATCCTTTCCACCCCCAGAGCAGTTGCTGCAAAACCGGCAAGAAGGGGCGGGGCTCCTGGGAATCTCCCAGAAACCTTTTCCACGTGTGTAAATTGGCCTCCCCTCTCAGACAGACACATCAGCGACACCTGGTGGCCGGTGCCGGTCACAGCGAGCGCCAGTGTTCCTCTTCGCCTCCCTCAGGGGTGATTTTCCAAGGCCAAGGAGTTTCGACTCAAAGAGCCAGGGGCTGTGAAAGCAGTTCTCTCTCCTATGGGGTCTACAGGGCACAGAGGTACAGAGGCCCTGGGTTGGGGGCTGATTCCCATCAAAGGTGAGCACCGGTGGGAACCTTTGGGAACCCAGGTGAGGATGCTGTCTGATCCAGTTTGCTGTCTGACCTTACTATCCCTTCTGCTTTCAGTTCCCACATCTGTTAACCCCTCTGAGGCCCCTCCCACACTCACGTTCCAGTCTACGGCTCCACCCTTTAGACATTGCTCTAATGCAGGACAAGTCCTAAATATTAATCCCTTCCCTTGCAGTAATTTATTCCCTGTGTGGACTGTCCTGCCCCCAGTGTTCCCACCCTCCCTGCCCGGCCTCGGTGCAGCTTGGCAGGCCTCCAAGGGAGCCTGGGCCCCAAGGGCTGACTGGCTTTCTTCCTCCCTTGACCTGCTCTAAGGGATGCTGCCCCTCCACAGTCCCCTGCGTGTATATGTTGGTGGGGGCGACGGGGTGTTCTAAACATGAGTAGGACATGGTGCCCACCCTCAAGGTAGGTTAGAAAAGTTGCAGAGATTTTTAAGAAATTGTACTAAGCTAGGTTTCTAACTTCAAGAAGTTCCCATTGTTCTCTTTCTCACCCTTCTCTTTTGCTAATTTATGAAAAATGGGGCCCATTTTATCCTAGCCTCCTTCCCCATGCTCCCGTAAACTGCCTCATTCTTCCTAGCTGCAGCTGGTTTCTCTAAGGCTTCTGCTTAAAGTCAATATAGTAACTGGCTGTAAGCAACCTGGTGCTCTGGCCTGGATAAGCCCTCTTCTGCACCTTACTCACACCTTTCAACCTCAGCCCCTCTGATGATGCCCTTGGGGAGCAGCGCCTGTGGCTGCCGGGGGAAGGGGTCATTCCTCTGCGACTGCAAACCCAAACTAGTCTGTTTCAGTAGCAACACAATCACCACCATCCCATCTAGAATGTCTGCGAGGATTCGGTTAAACAGGCTTTACAGCACTGCCCCCACCCCACCCCACACACAATGTGCTGACTTCCCTTGGGTTTCAGGAAGCCCCCTCCTCCATGCACAAGTTCATCTCTCAGTGCTTTTGGCATCTACATATGCAAGTGTGTGTGAATAGATGTGTATACGTACTCTGTTCATATACCTGTTCTTCCGGAAGACCACGTTAACTTTGTGAAACAACTTTCACATTCCAACATGCTTCACAGCAAAGGAAATAAAGTAATAAGAAAAACGTCCCGCTTGAACCTGACACCATGAACAGGTCAAGAATAATACCTTAAAGCCATCTTGCCACCCCTCTCCTCCTGCTGCCGCCTCTCACTTGCTCTCAGAAGATGGGTGGAAAAGGGTCCTATTCTTAAGAAATTCTAAGAAAATTATTCCAACGACTTATCTCTGTGAACTTCCCCAAAATCACAACTCTTGTGAAAAATTATTCCTAAAATCAGACCAGAAATCTGACAGCTATGTTTGAAGCCCAAAGCCCCCAGGTCTTTCAGCCATGGATACGAAATGCTCAGTACTGAACCTGATACAAAAAGACAAAGCAGACACCATTCCTGACCAAGCGAAGCTTACAGGCTAGTTGAGGAGATGCAGTGTAAGAGCACAAAGCAGTGGCAGAGTTGTATCAAGGGCGAGAACAAAGGGCTACCTCACTTGGAAGTGTCTACGGGCTGTGCAGATGTCCACAGAAGGGTGAGAACGGGTGCCCTGGAAACTTCCTTCAGATGGAAGGTTATAGAAGTGGACTTGTGATCCTCCCAGCCTACACTATCTTAAGGTAAAAACTGCCACTTGCTGTCCCCATCTCTCCCACCCTGCCTCCTGAAGACCTGCTTCAGTTCAATTCAGCAAGTTTTCAATAGACATCAACTATGTGCAAGGTTCCCAGCTAAGAATTCAAGGATAGGTAATATACACACCATGCCCTTGAGGAATTCACAGCTTAGTAAAGGGAGAAATTCGTGAGTTAATACTTGCATGTCTTAGAGTTTGTAATAACGCTGTGTAGAGAGAGTGTGTGGAGAGGGCCTTGACCTCTCCCGGAGAGGAACTAGAAAGGCTCCCATCGTTGGAGCAGGGCCTTAGGGATGAATCAGACTTTGCCAGGTGGGAGAAGCGGGGAAAGAGCGGGGAAAGGACATGAGTGGGAGGGGAAGCAGCATGAGCAATAAGGTAGGAAGCCTTGGCATGTACCCTGTAGGCTGTGTGTGTCTGAGAAAGGGAGAGAGCCAGTTCCCGTCACAGGGTTATGTGGCTATAAGCCCTCAGCAGGGAATATATCCCTGTGGTCCAAAAATCAGAAGGGTTCCTGAAATTTTCCACCACACCCCTCCCTGCCCATGAAAGGGGCAGCAACAAGGTCAGCTGGCCAGACTTTTGTCCCTACCACCTGCCACCTCTATTCCATCAGCATGCCTTATGATTCTCTTAATGAGGGGCTCGGATTTGAAAGGCTGCCCGCAGCTCCCCCGCAGCCCCCCACAACTCTCTACCCCCACCCCCCACCTCCCTACCTCCCACACTCTCCAATCCCCACCCCCACCCCACCCCTGTTTCCCAGGCTCTGAGGGCCTGAGCAGTACTGATGGTGAGACAGTCCCCACACAGGTCACTCATACACGTCCCACGGACCCTCCCTAAAATCCACGGAGCCAGAGCGTGTGACAGACGAGCTAATGAAAGCAGAGCCCAGGCTGGGAGAGGGTCTATGACATGAGACCAGTTTCAAAGTGATTCCTCGCAGAGGGTTCAGGGTGAGGGTGGTGGTGGTGGTGGTGGTGGTGGTGGTGGTGAGCCGTTGGCTAGGGCGGAGTGGCGGGGGAAACAGGCGCATGCGCAGTGAGGCTGGCTGTGCCCTGGGGGCGGACCAATCGCAGGGCAGGGGGCTCGCTGACTGAGTGCAGAGGTGTGTGTCACCAGAAAGTGGGGCGGGAGAGTGGAAGTAGGAGACAGGTGGAATGCACGGTCAGTCGCGTCTTCATTCCTCACAGGGAATAAATGATAAGGGTGGGAGGGGAGAGGCCCTGTCTGACTGCTGGGATAGAGGGCCTCTGGCTGTGGACAGAAAGCAAAGGACAGCAGCTAAATATGCCATCTGCTTCCGGGGCACCGGCCTAGCTCCGGGGCTCTCTCTCCCTCCACCCAGCAGAACCCTTGTTGGTGTCTCTCCCCAGGTGCAGATCTACCAGGGGCACAAAAACACGTGTTGCCCTGGTGACCTGGTTCTTGGGCTGGTGGAAGCCTGGCCACGGCAGCTGGTGCCCAGGAATGCTGCAGGCCAAGCACTGTCCTTTGGGCCAGGCTATTAGATCTGCCCCTTCACGTGCTGTGCCCGGGCAGATATGAGCTCTGCCAAGGCCATCTGTTATGAGGGCAGCAAGACTCATTGTCTCAGAACTCCTGGGGATGTGGGGAGGGTCATACGAACAAAGGGGAAATCTCTAACCTGAGAATCAAGGAATCTAGGAGCTGGCCCAGGCTCTGTGTGACCTTGGGCAATCACCTCACCCCACTGGGTCTTGTTTCTCCATCTGTACAATAAGGAGTTTGGATTAGATGATCCTTAGGGGGCCTTGCAGCTGAGATTCAGCATCTGGCTGGGGGAGAGAGTAGGGAGAAGGTACATAACTGAAGAATCTGGACAGACTTGCAGGCTGGCAGAATCCTGGGGAGACACAACACCTTTCCCCCACCCTATCTTCAGTACGGCCTGCCTTGCAGAGCCTGTAGCACCAAGCAAAACAGAGTTTCTCCCCGTAAATACATCTTGAGAGGATTCTTCTCAGCTGCGTGAGAACCTCACATAATGCCTCCTGGTGTTTGTGATCAGAAGTCCTCTCTAGGGCCCAACCTTAGCAGATTTGGAGAATATCTTGTATCCTCCTTGCTATCATCTCCAGAGAACCTGAAGTTGGCTTTCAAATCCTACCTCATCCTCATTCACCTCTTTGAATGCCCTGGTCTTCAGTCCCTCCCTCCCGTGATTTTTGTTTAGTTATGGTTCCCATGTGGGGGCTCCAAGGGGTGGGCAGTGGTCGGGGTGCAGTTGCTCTTAGCCCCTTTAATCCTTGAGTTCCATTTATGAAGTCAAAGCATCATCACTCTCTAGCTGGAGAAAAAAGCTGAGAAGGCAAGCCCCCCACCCTCCCACACCCCACTGCTGCCTTCTCCGAGAATAGCACAGAATCTGAGGGGCGGTGACCTCTGAGAGGGTAGGAACTGCCTACCTCCCCAAAGGGGCTGGGACAGTGAAAGAGAGGGAGACATGAGGGCGGGAGGTGGGGAGGAGCTGGGAATGGAGTAGGCAGAGGGAGAGAGAATTCCCTGGCACCAAGCACAGGAATGGGACGAGGACCCGCTGAGGAAGGAGGAGGGCAAACAGCTGGACATCAGAAAGAAGAGAAGTCTGATTGGCCACCACTCGCCTGCCCTGGCCAGCTTCCCGCCCTCCCCAGGCAGCTGTCCACTGCACACACCTTTCCATCAGAGTCCACACCTCTCTGGATGCTGTGAGGCTCCTTTGGAACCAAAAGAGTATACGGAAGGGTAAGGTTCTGGGTTTGAGAAGGTAGGCACATTGGTATGCAAGGGGGAAAGA